AGCAGTTTAATGCTAATGTGATAGTGGGGCACTAAATGAAAAAAGAAAAAAAAAAGCAGTACTTTTATCAGAAGCCACAACTGTGGTGTTCCTCTGGTTTATTAAGATTTGTGTGACTGAAAGGACTTGGGCACTTGCTTTTTTTTAAACTATAATATGCATGACTGACAAAAATAGATTTTTTTTTTTTTTTTTTTAAATTAACAAAACCACACAAACAGCAAAACACGGGTATCTTCTGACTTTGATTAGCTTCCTTTTAAAAATATGAAATACAGTTGGGAAACAGGTAGATATGCAGTATTGAGCATAAAATCCTTCATCACAGTGATTTCTCAAAGGTTTTGTTACTAAGATTTTTTTTTTTAAGTGTTTGCAATAGTATTAACATAATTCAGTCATGACTGATAAGCATGTAATGCTAGCCAGGAGTGTGTCTTTGAGCGTATGTATGAAAAATCCTAAGAAGGTGGTACATGTAGTTTAAGAGTGTACAAGCAGACCGTGTGTACCTAGAACAACTTCTTCCCGTTATAAGATCAATTTAGCTGAGCTTTTAGAGAGAAGCTGGCTCAATCAGATCTAGCATGTTTACGACTTTGGAGGTGACTTTAAAAAAAAAAAAAAAAAACAACAAAAACCACAACAGAGACCCCTCTGAAAAATTATTATTTGATCATCATTATTTCTCAAATGCCTTTTGTTTGTTCAAGGGAACTGAAATAAACATGTGATTTGTGAGTCTCAATTCTCATTTGCATCAAAGCAAGTTGATTAGGCTTTGAGTGAACCAGATAGACCACAAAATATCTTTATGAGTGTCTAAATGATTTTTGGTATGTCCAGAAAGTAATTTCTAGCAGCATAATTTTACTTTTATTATCTAAAGATAATTTACATTTCAAATTTATCTGAATCTTTTAAATAGTATTTTTAAAAGGTAGGGCTACATTACCAGAAAAATTTAATAAAGATTGAATCAAAGAATAGGAAGAGTCTTGCTTGGATAGGGTGTTCAATATTATCTAGAAAATCCAATAAAAATGCAGAAAACTCAATACACATTTTTTTCCTCCATGCTCCCTGTGCCTGCCCCCCTCCCCCCCATGTTTGCTATGGGAGCATTTCACTGAATCTCCAGTTTTCACAGCTGTAAAAATTTAAGGCTAATTCCCCAGTGTGTCAGAATAGCTGTTAATCAGTGAAGCCTTGTTGCTGTGCACTATCAGAGGAAATTTTGCCAATGTTTTTAATCGAAACTTTTTAAGGTTTTCATACTTGCATTCTGGTTTTGCAACACTATAATCTTGTCATCAAAACTTCTACATTGGTTTTTCTCCCTTATCAATTCTGTTCCCTGTTCAAGATTGACCGTTTTAGAGGAGGCCAAATTTAATTTGGCCTTGAATGCATGAGACAGTCTGTAATGCCTGAATTGGAGAAAAGATATTTTCTGTGACAGTTAAAGGTAGATTCTACATTTATCAGTTTGGAAACAGAAGTATTTCCTCCTTACAGGGTACATGCAGGACAGTTTTATTTTAATTTTCTTCTAGCGCTCTTGCCAAGCTATTGTCAGTTGGTTTTCTCTGAGAATTTAAAAAACAGCTCTGTTTTGCTGGCAAACTTGCAATCTATACTTCAACACTGAAGCTTATAGAATTCATTAAAATGTTGATCCATATTCCTGTATTTTAGCTTGCAAGTAGATAGTGTATACCATAAATTTTGTACTCTCCCATGCTGTTAAGTCTATCCTGTTCATTGTGGATGACATGTATAATAATCATTATTATTCATTTTGTACACAACTGGTTTTTTTTAAAAACATGCCTTAAATGACAACATAAAAAGGCAGAACTGTCCTTTGAAGTTGTGATAACTCATTCATGTTTTGGAGACTTCTGTGAAAAGCTAGTCCTTTTTATCAGAAAGGATAAGGGGTTGAACATTAACCATATTTAAAATATTATAATAAGTTAATTTTGCTATTTTGTTTCTCTCACTGCAATTATGTCACAGATGAGCATTGTAAAATTTGAATTGCCAAAATGTACATACTCTCCCTAAAACAGTCTGTTTTGCTTAGTACACTGAAAAGACCAAAGTTTTCACACATAAATGACAGCTAAGAATCTGAGTCTTTATTAAAGCAGTAGGAGGCTTCAGAGAAGTGTTTCCAAACCTAAATTCCTCTCTTTTTATAGGTTTCTGTTTCTTACTGGAAGATCAGAGTGATGAAAAGTTTCACAAGAGGTTTAAGCAACTCCCATTTCCTGAAAATGACTCTTGAACATGTTGTTTTCTTTCTGGATATTTCCATTCTTAGTATATTGTTGGTGTCATGCACTGAACTTTAATGTCATAATAAGCATTTAATAAGTGTTACATTTTGTTGTAGTCCTAATTAGCCAATCCAGGTACTTCTAAGCACATTATATATAAATGTAATGTGTATATATACATATATAAGTACTGCAGGAACATATGGCATTGCAGTCTGTACCGGCTATAAATTCAGTGAAAGTCACTATGTTAAAAAGCGTTGCTTGAGGAACCTGCTTTGGTGCAAGTGCTTGAGAGCGAGTGGGAGCTCAGGTGCATGCTCACGTCACTATGCTTTAGCACTCAGTGCCGGGGCCAGGTCAGTGAGCACTCTGAGGACTTAATTTCCCAGGCGCTGTAAGGCCACTTCCACACTGGTAAGTAGTGCTGCCTACAGAAGTGGATTTGCAGAGGCCAGCAGTAGGCACTGAGGACCTGAGAGCTGTGCAAGGGGTGTTGAAGGGAGCTTATTTTGAACTCGCTGTAGTCTGGTCCTGTGGCATTAGGAGGTGGCGCATATTAGGTGTGATTCTGAAGCAGATGTTCTGCTTTACTTTCATCTTAAAGTTATGTGCACCAGGGCCAGTCAGTAAGGTGAAGCAAAGCCTGAGTGAGGACAATCAGATGCTCATGATCTTAACTGAATGTTAAGGTTGACTTACTCTAAGCCATAGCTGTTGCTGCAAGTGGCAATTTTCCCCTCCCATTAACTTCAGAGGCTTGGATTTATCCCGTGCGTCGTTTTCCCTTTTGTCAACTGCAAGGAAAAGCAGGCTGGGGAGTTGTTTGAATAAAAAAAATAATATGCCAGGATGGGTGTAAACAACTGTATAGTAAAGATGTGTAGGACTGCCCCTTCTGTTAGCAGTGAGATTTTTTTCTGTGTTTTTAAGATGTTTTTGCAGTTAATGGCAGTAATCTGCAGGAAATGGAAGATGGAGCATGAGCAGTATAACCTTCAGAGGAGGAAATGTAAGACTGCACACTGTATTTCATATCTATACCAAACATGCCATCAGTTATTGCTGAGCAGCTGGCATGTGGTAGCATGTTACACTGTGGGGTTTTGAGGGGTCTTAGATTAGATGCTAATAAAGTGTATGTACAAAAAGGACAGTGATAGACCTATGACAGCATCAGCCTGTTTTCTTTAAGATTTTTCTTTTTCTGGTTAAGTAAAAATTTGGTTGTATAGATTTGGTCAAACCATGAAGGATTTGATGATGTAAAAAGCAGGATGTTTCATAATTTCTTGGTCGTGTCCTGTCCCCCTCAAGCTTCTAAGTTTTACTATATTTGAACTACACAGGTTCTCTGAATGTAGTGCGATAAGGCTTAATTTGATCTCAGAAATTGTTTAAGAAAGATTTGTTTTCACTTTCTATTCTGTACCTTTCTAACTAGAAATGGTAGATGGTGTGCTTGAAAAGCTAGAAATGCCAATGAGATACTTTTCCTCCAGTGTACGTAATTACATAGACATAGTTTTCCTGTTTCTATCCAACAATGAGAATACACAGCAATGACAGTAAAGTATGGTAGGTAGGTATGTATGGTGTGGTAAATCTATTTGCAAAAACCTGAACGTACAGAACTTCCAGTTTGTTCATTTCCAGGAAGAGACCTATTTGGTCAAAGACAGTAGTACTTATATTAAACCTTTCTATGAGGACTGTCTGCTCAAGAAGGACCCAAAATCGATACCCAGGTAACTCTCAAAATTTGTCCTATTTTAGGACTGGTAATAATTTGAGAATTTATGTTTTGCAGGGGCGAAAGGTAATTGCATGTGTTAAACTTACACTGAGGAGATATGCTTGCTGGAAAAATGTCTTTTGAATCTCATGTAAGCTTTAAGAGTATTTGGGCGTTGTGGTTGATTTTGCAATCCTATGGGTGAATTGTGTGAAGGCAGGCTTGCACTCATGTGACTAACTCGATTTCTTTCTGTCTGATGGGCAGAAATAAAAATTGTTTGTTATATAGCTAGTGTCTAAATCTTCGTCTTCAGGCAGTAGAGAGGAAGCTAAGGTGGTTTTAATACAGAGAAGTCAGCTTTCTACTGAGGTTGTTGCTGAATGTTTTATTTAGCTTAGTTTCTAACTCAGTTAGCTCTGTCATTGCTCATTTTAGGAAGCGACACATTTATATAATGATTTTCTGCTTCATTTACTTCCTTCTGTGTGCATCATTAGCATGAATGCTGTTAAAAAGGTCAACACAAAAATATGAAGTGTTTGTCCAGAGCTGATTAGAGATTTGTCTTGGGCTTTGTTGTTGTTATTGTTTGGGGGTTTTTTGGTGACTGTCACGTATTTGTCAGAAAGGGACAAAAGAAATGAGCTAAAACTGGAGCACCCTTTTTTCTACAGCCTCATAGCTTAGACATGTTATCATCAAATAGAAACTGCTTCTCACACTTCCTTTAATTTCTGGATGAATGCTCAAGTAAACGAGATGCATAAAAAATGGATTTAAAAGCAGTCTGCAAAAGCAGGAGAAGATCAAGCAATTTGGTTTATTGGGTGTCAGAAGCCCTCCCTGGATACTCTGCTGGCTTGTGGCAAGGGAAACATAGTAGTTTTAAAAACCTAAAGAAGTATGAGTAAGACAATGGAATAGGTTGCCCAGAGAAGTTGTTGGACGGGGCTTTGAGCAACCTGATCTAGTGAAAGATGGCCCTGCTCGTGGCAGGAGGTTGGACTAGATGATCTTTAAAGGTCCCTTCCAATCCAAACCATTCTGTGATTCTATGAGTGCTCTGAGAGAGTTCTACTAGGCAGATTTCTTGTGTCAATGATAATCTGTAACTTAGGAACTGTTGAGATGTCGTCTGTGGTTAACTGAGTGTATTTGACCACATTACAAATGCAGGGAACACAGAAATCTCTAAGCAGAAATTGCAATAAGTGGTTATATTTATTGAAAATCGTGTATTGGTGATTGTCTGATGATCAGTGTCTGCCAAGTCCCTAGAGTACAAATTACGCTATTTAATGTGTAAGACATTTTCCTTGTGTTTGATATAGCAGTACTGCTGTGTGACCTCCCCAGATCACAGCAGTTGGAACCACAGCAGCTTGCCCAAAATGTTATTGCTCACAAGATCAGGTCTTTCTGGTTTGTTGTATACGCACCATTTTCTGAGGTATGTTCTCTTGTGGTAGAGGTAAATGTACTGGATTTCATGACACTGTTTCCCCTAGCACTAACTAATATCTGCAGAACATGTTTTCCATTCTCTGTTTCTTATTTTGAAGGAATTAGAGATAAGAATTTGCAAGAAACTGAAGTAACAATGGAATCAAAGGTGGCAGAGATAAAAGCAACAGAAGGCAGAAGAAAAAGCAAAGAGGTTGAATTTAAACAAGAAGAATTTAAATGTGATCGTAAATCCAAAAATCCCTGGGGTAAGTCAGGATGGCACATCTAGAGAGATCCTGATAAGAGAAACACTGGCAATAAAGAATAAAACAAAATAAAATAAAATAAAAGGACACTTTGGTGTACCCTAAGAGTGACATTTTGAATCTGAAATTTTAAAAAATGTTTCATGTTTATAGAACTATGGTTATAGTGGTAGTGTAAGGGAAAGCTTCAGTTGGTGGTTGGTTGTAGTAGCAATAGCATCAGTTAAGACAAACTTGATACAGCTTGTTGAGGTTTTTGTGTGACATAAAAGACCTGTTCCACAGCAATCATAAAAAAAAGTAGTGTACTATTTCAGCTCTTTATACTGCCATTATGGTATATTTTTCTCTTCATGACTTGTTGGTGTCTAAAGCATTTCTGAATTACGTGATTGTGTTCTGCTAAATCTACCAAAGACTCTCAAGGAAGCAACTGTAATGACACAAAATTTTGCCTCATTGCGATGGTGATAAAGGAGGAAGTATACCTTGAAGTAGAGAACTGAGTTCTGACCTCTATATCCCATTTTTGTGTTTAGTTGTGTTCATTAGAAATGACAGCACCTGTCCATCAATAGGTATTCAGCTGTGGACGGACAAGGCCTCCATAGGCAAAGATACTGTGATAATTATGACACTTGTGTATGTATTCACAGGACAGATCAGAGAGAGAGGCTGAAACCAGGGAATAAGGACATATCACTCTTCAGGAGAAACAGCTTTTTGGGCATAATGTTAGCTTTGTCAGATGTGATAATCAGGTATCTTTCTAGTCTACTTGGGTCAGGTCCATGCTGTGGAAAGGTACCCCACGACCTTACTTGGCTCTGTGTTCCCATTGCCATTGTAGGGAAGGTCAATGGAATTTCTTTGAGAAGAGAAGGCCCAGGAGTTCAAGCCTAAACTCATCCCATTTGTAGGAAAATTGTTCCTCTCTGTAGAACCTCATTTTGCACACTCCAGACCTCACTGAGGTTAGTGAAAAGAATGATGAAGACATGAGGCTTCATTTTATACAGATAGAGCAAGTATTTGTTTTCACACACAACTTAGCAATTAGCGACAGAAGGTACATAAATGATGAAAATGTTCTTATTGCATGCTAGTTAAATAGCCGTTTGAGAATAGAAGTGCAGCCGCTCTGCTGGCTGACGCAGTGATGGCAGGAGTGTCCCGTGCTTTAGGATAATTGCTTTAATTGAAACAGGTGTGCCACAGTGCTGCAGCAATTTAGCTACTTCGTGATCTCACTCTAAAGTTTACAAGTGGGCTTTTGTAATTTTCATTTCCATTAGTGGACCGTCTCTGAGAAGCAACATGACTTACTTGAAAACGTTTTCCATTATCTGCAAGTAGTTCTAAAGTGCTTTCTGCTGTCCTTCCCACGATGAATCCATTTTGGCTTGCTTCAGGGGATTTGCCTTGCAGAATTCCAGCAACCAAGAACTAGAGATGCATTTTGAGGTATTTTTACTGGATGTGTGTCAGGTGCACTGACTGGGAAAATACTTGTGGTCTGGATGCGTGAGGGGCAGTTCCTTATGCTAAGGCCACTGATTAGTGCTGAATTAGATGTTCTCATTCTGTTTCCAAATGTTAATTTGGGGATGTTTGAAGTGCTAGTGAAACTTTTTCCATAGTTCCTTATGATATCATTTTAAGTGATCAGGGCAAGTAATATGAAGAGATGAATGGCTGAATCTTTGAAAAGATTGCAAGGGGACCAAGAGACTAAAGGTCTTTTGTTTCTGGAGTCTCATTTGAACTAGTATGTATGCTTGCCATTCTCGTCCTTCATACAGCCCAAATGGAAATGAATCTTATTGAGCTTAGAAGAAAGGTTTTGCAAATCTTCAAGCAAAGACAGGAGTCTGGGTCTCTTACACTTTCTCATGTTTCTCATGCTCCATTTTTGTCGTTGTATCATGACCCTTGACTATACCCATAGTTTTATCCAACAGAGTGAAAGGAATGGGGGGTAAAGGGAGAGCAGAGGAGATACCTCAGTGGGAAAACGGACATTTTTCAAACCCTAGCAGTTTTAAAAAACATGGGCTTAAGACTCTCTAGATGAAGAATGCATGTTTCTGTGGAATGAGAACTCATGGGATAATGTTACATATTCACCTTGGGTGACATTTGATTTGGACAGTGAAACTAGAATCTTAGGACACATGAAAGTCTAATCAGATGAGTGTGGTCAACTTCTAAAGTCTTGAATTTCCCTGCCCTGAGTCTCCTTGCCTGGAAAAAGCTACTTCTTCCTCTGTAAGTTTTACCATGGAAAGATACTCATGGTAATCTTGGAGAATATAGTCTGCTGTTCACAACAGTATTAAAGATGCATTGCATGTCATTCTGTATTGCTTATGTTGCCCCGATTTTTCATTAATATATTATGAGAAAGTAAGCAAGAACTGTTCTGTGCTTTTCCACTTCTCTTTTGAGATAGTCAGCAAGTGTACTTATTTTAACAAATTTTTGCTGATGGACAGTAGCTCGTTACATACTGTCAGAGGTCATATACTTCTTTCTCAAATGTCTTTCTTTTTAAGACTGCCATTTAAAAAAAATAAAACAACCTCCCCTTCCCCAAGTGAGGACATCTGTAACAGGATGAAATTAAAGGGATGAATTTTCTTCTTTCTCTAGCAATTGATCCTCTCCTTTCTCAACATAGTGTTTGAGAACAATTTGAAAGGGAATTTTCTTCACACAGATATCAAAAGCTAATGCAATTGAGGCAAGGAGTGTAAACAGACTTGGATTTACTTTTTTATTAGAGTTGCCTATGGCAAGCTTGTTGTGTGGTTCTAGGAATTCCTGGGCAGCTGAGAGAACAACAGGGAATGACATCGTTGTGCTCCAGTACCCAGCTGGAGAAGGCTGTGGATGACCCCGAGAAATATAGTGATACATCTTTCGGTTAAATTTTTGGTAAACATTTGTGTTCGAGTGTCAGGTTTTTTTATGAAAGCATCCTAAGGCAGGAAGGGGGACTGTACAGCCAATTTTTAAAGCCTAACCTAATTGAAATCAGCCTTATTTAAGTCAAACAAAGTGTGTTAATGCTGATTTGCTGAAAACAACTCTAGTAAAATGCAGATATCTAGATGTAAAGCACATCATCTACAAACATTAAGCCTTTAAAAGGCAGAAAATAAGTTGGCATCTGTGCAGGGGACTTGCTTTTCTGAATCTGGCAGTGTTATTACCAAAGATGAGTGTAACCAAGTATTACTTGCTCACTTCTAAACACACAGAAACTATCTTTTACAAGACTGCAAGATTCATAGACTGAGATATCTGTTTAAGTTTAGCCACCAGCCCCCAATCTTTGATATGTTTCCTTTGCCTTCCTGATGTGTTTAGTGCGTTACAGAGTTCTTGAGATTTCCCTTAATTTTCTTATATACTTGCCTTTTTTCCCTCCATACTAAGTGTTTTAATTGTTGCTGTAAAAAAGATGTTCTTTTGCATTATGTGTGCAAGTTCTTGATTCCTGCTTGGTCACGCTAGTCCACAAAGATGTTCTCGTCTTGTTTGGTTCTCACAAGATTCAGCAGGTCTTTTCAAAGAAGACTTCAGATGGCGTGTTTCAGGAGATGTGCTTTTTTGGGCAACCACGCACCAGTAACTAGAGAATAGTTTTGCTTGTCAGAAGAACCCTTTCAGGTTATGGATGACTGCGTAAATTCTCTTACTGTTTCTCACTGCTGAACTAATAATACATTTGATTTCTACCTTTGAGTCAGTTTCCAAGTAGGAGTAGTTGAAGCATGACTTAATTTTGTCAGGATATGATAGTTTCTATTACATTAACTTTCAAGGGAACAAAATTCATCTCAACTTACATTATATTCCAAGTGCAGTAACTTCAAAGAAATATTCAGTGAGAGATGAAAATAATGAAGGGGGAAAAAACTCCATTGAAAAGTTAAGCATTGTTACTGTGTATTCAATATCGGGTAGTGTTGCATTAAAGCTAGACTTCAGCTTTTGTTGTTTCAGGTTAAAATGCTGCTGTTCTGAAGGCAGAGTTTTGGATGGGCTTTAATTTTCAAGTAAGCTGCATTCTAGCATCTACATCAAACCATTCTATGATTCTATTATCTTAGTAAAATTTCTGAAAGCAAAAAATGTTGTGTAACAGGAAAAAGCTAAAGGCACATGGAGTAGATTTTAGATAGAGCGCTTCATAGCTATTCCTAGGGTAAACTTTGACTCGGCATTTAAAGTCAGGCAAACATTTCAAAATAGTGATATTTCACCTTTTAGTAAAGTTTTGGAGAAGTAA